TGTGTATGTGTGTGTATGTGTGTGTTGTGTGTGTGTGTGTACTAGTCGGCTAAATCGGATAAACGGATGACCACTACTACCATTTACTCCAGTATACGAACAACAACAACAACAACAATCACAATAACAACAATCACATTACGAACAACAACAACAATCACAATAACAACAATCACATTACGAACAACAACAACAACAACAACAGCACACAGGAATTTAGACATGTAAGACATGATTAATGGCTTACTGTCACATTGTTGTTTGTTGCTGACAGCAACCTCTACCCTTCAACACAACAAGCTTACTACACCACACAGCAACATGCCATTACAACTACAACCACAACAACCACACACGACAACAAAAACACACTACCACCACAACAACCACACACACCACCACCACAACCACAACAACCACAGCAACTACATGAACCACGCATCAGCTAAAGGTCACAGATATTTCTTCTTTATTATTTACTATTTTTTTTCAGCTCTTCTTTACATATTATATTTGGTGTGGGTGGTTGTATGTGTGTGTGTGTGTCTGTCATGACTGTCACGCTCATACGCACACACCTATGTCTTACTCGACACACGCAAACACGTAGCTGGGAAATAAACACACACAAACACACACACACACACACATACACACACACACACACACACACACGAGTATACATTTAAGAACAAAGAAAACCATAATATTCGGAAACAACAACAACAACAACAACAACAACAACAACATAAACAACACCATCAATACAAAATTACATCGACATTGAAATTTAATGCATAGAATAAATGTAATCCCATACACGGATCAAATTAATCCCAAATAAATCCCATGTTGTTATAATCCTTGTATTAATCACGGTGAATGAGTCGGTATTAGCACAGGTGAGGCACACGAATGTCAAATCCATTTATTCCCATTAAAAAAGAAATCTATATCCGAATAAATGTTATATATATATTGTACGTTATTGCATACGATAATACATAATTTATACGATATACAATACTATGGTAAAATAATACATGACATACAATATTTCCTGGTGCCATACACTATACACACTTCCTATACATCATACACTCCTTCCAAAAAAAATTATTATTATTCTTATTATTATTATCATTGTTATTATTTATAGTAATACCCACTGCTACCAACAATACACCTCTGTTATTCATTACTTTCTACGAACAGGTTAACACACGCATACACACACACACACACACACACACACACACACACGCACACACACCTGTAACATGTGTGTGTGTGTGTAATGAATATCAAAGGACAATATTTATCCTGTCTTGTTCTTTACATGTTGAAGGGACGTGGGGGGTGACAGGGAGAGGGGGGGGGGTTGATCTATCTCTCTGTCTGTCTGCCTGTCTTTCTATCTACAAATCCATCTATCAATCTGTCTATCCACCTGTGTACCTGTCTGTTTATCTATCCGTCTATCTGTGTATCTCTCTGTCTACCTGCCTGTATATCTCTCCACCTATCTCTCTATCTCTATGCTGTTCTATCTCTCTATCCCTCTATCCCTCTATCTCTCTATCTCTATGCTGTTCTATCCCTCTATCTCTCTATCTCTCTATCTCTATGCTGTTCTATCCCTCTATCTCTCTATCTCTCTATCTCTATGCTGTTCTATCTCTCTATCCCTCTATCTGCCCAAACAATCTATCACTCACCGACATTTCTCTTAAGTACACGAAATATACTCGATAAATATATACCAAGATGTGAAGTATACTAATATATCCTGACACAGACTACTGAAGTATATCGTTATAACAGTTATAAAATATATATCTCTGATTCCTTGAAATATTGATATTTTTTTTTTTAAGTGCTTGAAATTTACGGTGTTGGTTTATTTGTTTTGTTGTTGTTTCTGTTTTATTCTTGTTTTTGTGTTTAATTTGTTTGTTTTTCCTATTTTTGTTATTAATATTATTGTTGTTGTTACTATTATTATCCTTTACAGTGATACACGCAACCCTTGACAAAAAAATAAAATAAAAAAAAAAACAAAAAAAAACCATCAAAAGATTATCTCGCAAACAAAACAACAATTGAAGTTAATCCATAAATCCCATCAGATCGCCAAGACTCCTGTAATCTACGAAAATCTTACTGAAATCCCCAGAGACACGTTACAGACATATCCCTCACTGTATAAACGAGCGCTTCCTGTATTCCATCATAAACAGATAATTTAACCTTTATTGTTTATGTATTTAAAGTCCAGAATCGTTTATTTTTCGAAGCCTGGCCTAAGATGGGAGAATTTGACCCTTAATCTATGTAAGGATTAAGTTCAGAATAGTCTGTTTCGGATGTTAGAGTTAAGATAAGGTTATTTTATTCGTATTTCTAGTTAGGTTATGGTTCAGAATCGCCTGTTTTAAGGGTAACTATGACGCGGCCATTGACATTGTTTAACTGCAGTAGAAGATAAATATCCACAATTTGAAACAACATTTATCAGTCAGGTCAGGAAAGACGGATATTGGGTATAATTTCTGTGTGATTTGTATTGCTATTTTCATCTCTATTTCCTGTAATCTTTAAGTCGTCACTAGTACTTTAGCTCTTACTGTCTATATCATTTAGGTCTAAATTCATTCACGTTGGATCAAAAAGTAAAAGATAAGTGATTTTAAACTTAATGGTCTATGTGTTTTGAGTCGAAATTCATTATCACTGGATCTTAATACAAATATAATGGCACTTTGACTCTTATTCTCAACTTTCTCTAAGGCTATTTTCATTTACATCAGAATTAACTGATAAAGATACATTTCCCTCTGATATAACATTATAACATATGACTCGAATCTAAACTATTAATAACAAAAGTGAAAAGACAATTTGACCTTAATTCCATATGTGCCTTAAGTCTATATTTGCTCACACTAAACCTTGTAGTAAGAGCTTAATAAATTTGACCTTTATACTCGACATGATTAGAGACTATATTAACCTGCTCTACTTAAGGGATGCAAACAAAAAAAATATATCAATTTCAGCCTTAAGATATATGTAGTTTCAGACTAAATCACCTGCATTTAAGATTAGGTTAAAGGATATATATCGGATCACCTGAGGATTAGCCCCCTAGTTTATGTCACTTTAATATTAACCACCCTAACCTAACCTAACCCTAATCCCCAGGTAGTTTTAGGGTGTTTAATCTTCAGGTCAAATAAACTGGGGTGTCTAATACTAGTATCCAGGTGATCCTATAATTCATTGGAAAAATAATACACCTGAACCTAATAAAGAACTATGTAATAGCAACACATTTTGACCCTTTAGCTACAATATATTAGAGTCGTGAATCAGTAACGCTAAGATCTGATGGGTTTATCAGAGAATTTCACCCTAATGCTCATGGTGTTTTAGGCCTAGAGTCGCCCACATTGATTCTAGCCATATCAGGGTTGTCAAGGCCTGGATTTCTTTATTTATCTTCCCTACTGGCAACACTGAGGCTTTATAGATATTTACACTGTTTCTGGGGTGTGGGAGTATTATGGGGATTTACTGGGGAGATATGGGGCTTCTGGGGATTTAAGGTGGTGATAAGGATTTGAAGAAGTGTTAGGGATTTAAAGAAGTGGTAGGGATTTAATGAAGTGGGAAGGATTTAAAGAAGTGCTAGGGATTTAAGGAATTGGTAGGGATTTAAGGAAGTGGTGGGGATTTAATGAGGCTGTAATGGATGAATGGGGTTAGAGAGGGATCAAGAGGGGATTATTTTCAAAGAATATAAAATGATTTAGGAGAGCCAGGGAGGATTTCAAACCACATTGGTTATTGATCGACTTTAAATATTAATTATGAACGATATTTCCTCAATAATTAAGTTTAAATAAAAAAGAAACATCGAATCTTTTTTAAACAAATTATAATTATATTTATTTATTATCATAAATGGACGTAGATGAAGGAGTATAAAAAAATAATTAATTTTGTAAAGTAAAGAAGTTTGTAATAAAGTAAATAAACTTATATAGATCTTTAACAAAAAATAAAAACACTAAAAAACCCCGAAAAGTTCTATAAAAAATCAAGAAATTTCACAAAAAATGGCAAAAACGTTCAAATTAGTTATTATAAAAAGAAGAAAACTGATCAAAATTAAAAAATTCCAAATAAGAATAAAATGTTGGCATATTAATGAACGAAATTTATAAAATACTACAAAGGAATGTAGAAATTATAGCGAAAAATAAGAAGGAACAACAGAACGAAACAAAACGAAGCATAAAACGAAACACAAAACGAAACACAAAACGAAGCATAAAAAGAAACAGAAAACGAAGCACATAACACAAAACAAAACACAAAACGAAGCACAAAACGAAGCACGAAACGAAGCACAAAACGAAGCACAAAACGAAGCACAAGATACACGGGTAAAATCCATAATAACAGGGAGAAACAGCCATCGCTACCCTGTGTCGTCATCAATATTTCAGTAGTGTTGACCATGATACATTGATGAGTGTCGCACCCCTGTGTGTGTGTGTGTGTGTGTGTGATGCAAGTTAATATTAATTACATCCTCTATTTATTAACTCTGATGTGAAAGAAAATGATGTAACGAGAAGTAAATATTTATATAAGCAAATATCTGACGATTATTTACATATGTTCTAAGTCATAAAAATTTATGCTTAACTATGATAATAATATACCTTATGCCTACTATAATAACCTTTTCATTAATATGTAAGAGTGTAGATATAAAACTACTGATACAGTCCACCAGCCACATAGCAGATTCATTTACAAACAGCACACGAGTACAAAACAGCTGATCCATTCACAAACATCAACAACAGACGGTACAACAACAAACAAACATACAGATGTAGACAATGCTCGTAGTAAATCAGCTGATTCATTCATAAAGGTAAATACCAGGTGAGAATCTCATTAATGACTGTCACGTGTTGTTGCAGGTCGGTGAAGGGGAACAACAGCTCTAGCTCGACTACAAACCTGGTCGGGGCCTGGAAGGACAAGGACAAACCCCGCCAGCCAGTGTTCCAGAGAGATTGGTACGACGTCCACACCTGAGCTACCCACCTGAGCTACCCACCTGAGCCACCCACCTGAACTACCCACCTGAGCCACCCACCTGAGCCACCCACCTGAGCCACCCACCTGAGCCACCGCTCACCCACTGAAGAAGCTCACCTGGAGTACCTCACTCAGTGGTGGAGTCAACATGAATATACGAACGGCACTACTCCACTGGTTTCTCCCACTGAGGTGTAAGCAGAGGGTATTCATTCAACCACCTCCAGGACCCACTGGCAAGCCAATTAGGGCACCCAGTGGTGACACGTAGACAGCACCACTGGAGAACCCACTTAATGAACTACTGTACTGTACCTCCGTGGTAACCAATGTGTTGTACTCAGTGACACCCCAACTAAAGCGTACTCAGTGGTAGCCCCAGCTAGTGTATTCAGAGGTACCTCACTTACACAACAATACCTGGTGGGAACCTACGAGAACCTACCTAAATTACCTACAGGTAGACTATCAGGTGTTCCAGTACCAACGTATAACCAAATAATGGACACAACCCCCCTTTTCACCTCCCCACTCTAACCCCACCTTAATACAACCCCACACATATTTCTCCCACCCACAGTAACTCTTACCAAGAACGACAGAAAAAAAGTGACAATAAACGTGTCCGGAATATCGAAGGTATAAATCACTTCATAAACAATTCAGGCAGAGGCGATCGTAGAGGTGATCAGGAGCGAGCAGGAACGGGACGAAGAGACGATCTGAATGAACAAGAAACACGGAACAGAGACGAGTAGTGACGAAAAGTGAAGATGACGAGAAGAAACAAGGAACAGAGACGTGAGGTAATGGCTGCCTACCTGAAGAAAGCCTTACCTGTATTTACACCTGACCTCGGAGTTTCAAGGTCGCCTACATGTCTCCTTCAACCCTCACCTTCCCCTACCACCACCACCTCCCTCACCTGTACTTCCCTTTGCCCCGTACCTGCATCGTGTAACAAATGACACCTCACCTCCTTACCTCCTCCCAACAGTCACGGAGATCAAAATTACATAAAACCTAATACAGTACTACAAAAATCTTACCTGTACTGTAATAACCTCTCCAGTATTAAATGTATTATGATCTATACCATATAATTATTACAGGTACAGTAATACCCCACTATATCAGTATTACACTTGCTGTAATATACCATCACAGTATTATATGTACTGCAATAGCTATATCACCTCAGTATTATAAAGTAACACACAATAACACCTGTTAACATTACGTATACTGCCATATATGACATCGCGTTACCTGTGATGGGGTGGTGCGTCACGGTCACCTGGGGGAAGGGAACCCGTCATTAAGTGGAAATTGCACACGTTTCATTGACCAGACCCGTGACTTGTGGCTCCCTGGCACCGCACAGGCCAGTGAAGGTTGCCTCGTTGTCTGAGAGGTGAGGAGGACACACACACACACACACACACACACACACACACACACACACACACACACACACACAACCTGAAAGACTAATCTGATGTGAAGTCTTGACAAACGACGTTTAAAGTCACTGAGAAAGACTAAAGAATTGTAAAGAACGCTTGAAAGAGGGACATAAACGCCTGGAGGATGGATAATTCGCCTGAAGGATGGATAAAAACGCCTGAAGGAGGAGGATATGAACGCCTGAAGGATTAAAAAGAACGTCCGAGAGATTGTTAGAACGCCTTAAAAACAAAACAAAAAAAATCACGCATTTTAACGAAAAAATTAACACTCATGAACCAGTTAAAAACAAAACCTGTAACGAAAAAAATAAAATAAAATAAAGGAGAGTTACACTGAGGGGAAAACAATGACGTAAGCAAAAATAAACAACCTCCCCTCATTTCAATTTTCCCTCCCCTCCCAAACTTTCTCCTCCCTCTCCTTCAATAATTTCCTAGTCCTCCTCCTCCCCTCACCCTAACTTCCTCCTCTCCTAGAATTCTTCCTCCCTCCTCCTCACCCCCTTCACCTCCTCTGACCTTTTAATTGTAACAGGATATTAAAAAAAAATAAACTGCAATAAAGTTGACAGAAGGAAATATTTAAACACCAAGATTATTATGATGTAACGAGGTAGCATTTCTCTCCTCCCCCCCCAGTCTATCTCCCCGTCCCTCCCTCCCCCTCTCTCTTCCTTTATCTCCATTTCCTTCATCTCCTCACCTACTTATATCCCTTCTTCATTTCCTTCCCCCACCCATTCCACCTATTATGTCGCCTACCCTTTCCCCCCAGCGCCCCTTTCAAGCATCCCTATCCCTTCCCTCCCTCACTTCAACTCATCCCCATCCCTCAGAGAAGAATGAGGAGGAGGATGGAGAGGAGGAGGAAGAGGAGGAGGAGGATGGAGAGGACGAGGATTCTATAAATGAGTATTAGTATAACGTGTAATCAATGGTCAGGATTCTAAGAGATTCGTAAATTAATCCATTTTTTCCCACTTTCCCTAAACCACATTGAAAGGTACCTACAGTCTCAGTAAAGTTTCGACGCCATTTTTAACCTAGAGCTGAAAATGGCGTTCGAAACTTTACTCATTTGTCGTAAAGTGAGTCAGCTATGTACGTTCTTACAACCCCCTGTTAGGATGGAAATAAGGGATTAACTGGGCTTAACTGGCGAATCTCTGAAATCCAACTCCGAGGGATTTACGTGAGGCAGGGAAGTGGTGTGATGATGTTGACGTCACACACAAGTTGCCAAATGTACTTTGTAATAATTATGTTTTTGTTTTGTTTTTATTTACTGATGTATTATTAACAAGTAGTCATTAATATTGTGAATAGTACCATGCATAACCCCGCTGTATATATATGCTATATTTTTTTTCTCCAAATATTGAAGCACAAGTTACCATTGTGATAAATAATTGTGATAAGCTGTTCGTATGATTAGACATACCTATATATCTCAACTACTACCACACACATGAACAACCACACTTATGTATTCTAAAAGAACCTAATGTATATGGGTCAAGTTCTATATATAATTTCACTAGATGCAACTAAGTCGGTATTAATAAGTATTTTCAAGTATAGTTAAAGATTCATGTGAAGAAAGAATTAATGTTTGTGACCAATATGTATAAATTCACTAAATGCAACAAAGTTTATAATATTTAAGTATTTCCGATTCTAAATGGAGGCCAAACCCTTGTCATCAGTGCCAGATCCTATTATTCATCACCAACACGACTGTCATTTGTTTCTATACTGTTTCAATATCCCTTTACTAACCCTACAGACAACCATGTTTCTGACAGAGAGAGGAGAGAAGCTTTAGTTCTTCCTAACACTCACTAATGGCTGTATAATCCATGCCCTCGTATTGGCAACAATGTTATAGTAAACAAGGATCGTTCCCGGGTAGCCGATCCTCAAGTGTTCCGCCCCCCAGGCCAGGCTAACACCGGGCTCTTACCACCACCACCTCACTCACAATTACATATATTCATTATAGATCCAACACCTGTGAACATGTCAATACCACAAGAATCGACCTCCCACACTCAGCTACAATGGTGAGTTCATAGTGATGACGACAAACGGTGACCTTGTCTGAGGTACAGGTGATAGACTCCCCTTAACAACGCAGCAGCTTGAGGTATCTAGCAACTCGCCCCGCTGGTCGGGATCGTTGCTGTACGTCGCAATACAACAACCCAGCTAGTTGCTTCTCTTAGTTTACCTAGTGTATTACGAACCATAGATGGTACCAGAAGGGCCGGGTTTAGTACTAAATCTTCATGTTTTCTAGTGTTTCATGTTTATAGTCGAAATAATAGTAGTATATTGGCTTATCAAGTACCTCTTACCTTGACGTCACCGGTCGATTAGCGACGCAGCAATTGGTCATGCAGTGTGTGTGTGTGTGTGTGTGTGTGTGAACCCCGCTACAGGTGCTGCGCGCCCACACACACACGCACGCCCTTCTTACATACCTCCACACTACCTCATATGACTACATAATTATTCCCCGTATACTCGTCAACTTTTATACACGCCCCCACACTCCTACTCAATCCCTCACACACCCTCACACTCCCTCACTCTTCCCCACATTTCCTCACACTCCCACACGCCTTCCATACTCCCCCACACACCCTACACACTCCCACACACCCTACACACTCCTACACACTCTCACACCCACCCACTCCCTCACACTCCTCACACACCCTCACACACCACTACACTCCTCACACTACTAACCCGTATAATCGATTTTTATACGGATACCCAAATTACCTTAATCAATTTTCACGGATACATTACATCACTCATAGAAGCCGTATTAGAGCATTTTCCCGTGTTACCGTTATAGTGAGGTGGTCGGTATGGTCGGGTAGTTGTCCTTAAAGATTCTATCTACTTCTGACTGTCTACTATTCACTATCTCTCGTTCATAATGTGTTTTAGCTGACTCATTATCTGCTGTTAATTATACGTTATTAACTCCTCATTGTATACTGTTTACTATTCATTATATTCCATCCAGTATTCTCTATTCACTTTCAACTACACACACACACACACACACACACACACACACACTTATTATAAAGTGAGTTTCTCTAGGTGTCTGCGACCCTTCCACCTCTCCCTCCCTCTCTCATCTGGCCTCAGTGATACCCCCCTCTCTACCTCTGTCCTTTACCTCTCCTCAGTGACACCTCCCTCTCTACCTCCCTCCTTCACCTGGCCTCAGTGACACCCCTCTCCACCTCCCTCCTTCACCAGGCCTCAGTGACACCCCCTCTCCACCTCCCTCCTTCACCTGGCCTCAGTGATACCCCCTCTACCTCCTCCTTCACCTGGCCTCAGTGACACCTCCCTCTCTACCTCCCTCCTTCACCTGACATCAGTGACACCTCTCTCTCGACCTCCCTCCTTCACCTGGCCTCAGTGACACCTCCCTCTCTACCTCCCTCCTTCACCTGACATCAGTGACACCTCTCTCTCGACCTCCCTCCTTCACCTGGCCTCAGTGACACCTCCCTCTCTACCTCCCTCCTTCACCTGGCCTCAATTATCTAAAATTCCCAATCATAAAACGTAGTTCACCCTAAAACAATAATATCAAGATTGGGTTTGTCATCAACTAGTCATCAGAACTTAGTCTACAGCGCCAGTACCCCTCCCCACTCCCCCCTCCTTTCCTTAACACTGAAAATATCCAGGATTCGTCTCTGATTGTGAGTACCTTTAATTATAATCGCATTTATAATTCTTCATCGCTTTCACCATTCATAACAAGAGTCAAATTTAGAATCGTGAATAATTACAATTCTTTTATTTTATCAATGTATTTTTTTTATCTCAAGACTCACATACATATATATCTAATACTCAGGTGTTGACCATAAAGCAATATATATATATATATCATATCTATGTTATAAACAATGAAAAAGAAAAAAAGTGACGATCTGTCTTTTGAAGGATTGAGAACCCACAAAAGTATCTGTTACAGTATTCTTAACCCCAGACACAACTTCCACCTTCATTTGTTTCATTGCATTTATTGATAATTGTAAGACTTAGTCGACTATATTTTAAAGATGTGCATGATAGCAACATAGAAGAATAGCGTGTAGTAAGTTTTGTGAAGGCTTTTATATACATACTTATATATATATTTATGCAACATAGTGTACTGAAGTTGAACTAACAATTTCATAGTTTTTTAAAGCTCTTTGTGCCTTAAATTAATTTTATATAATATTTACACTTTGCCACCTGTCACGTATATATATCACACCTCCCTGCTAGTGTACAGTTGTGGACAAAAATCTCTACACACTCTTGGTAATAAGTGTCATGTACTTAAGGATCATACAGGTAAAAATTATTCAGATTTTAACGATTTTAAAACCCATGTACTCAGATTTTTTTTAGCATTAGATTGATTTTTCCTGATACAGTTCTTCTATAATTTATAACAACAAGCAGCGTTCACAAGCTATAAACTAACCTCATATATGACCCGTAAGTAGATGCCAAACAGTGCCAAGTGTCGAGAGAATTTTACCTAAAAATTGTACAATATTTATTATTTCTATTATGCATAACACAAATATATTTTGCCACTTGATTCATTCTCAGATTTTGTATGAATATTATTTCGGCTACAGTAGTGTGATGTGTGTAGATGGTCTTGTGTGTTAGACTGGTGGGAGGGATGAAACAACAACAACAACGACAACCACAACCATCACTACAACAACCACCACCACAACGACAACAACAACAAGCAAGACCATTCAAGAATCCGCAGTTAATACGACTCGATGCGTCAAGACTATTTGCAACATCTGGACAAGATTAAACTTCAACATTGCTTAGTTCTCATTCACTTTACATTGGGCGATAGTGACCCACAGTTGTGTATGTAAACAAGTATGATATATTAATAATCATATTTTCACACTCTACCCAAAAGCTTCCTGTGACACGTGTTATTGTTGTCGTTGTTGTCGTTGTTGTTGTCAGTCATGTGTATTGTAAATGTCAGGTGTTTAAGGAATGATTGTCCAATGGTGATATTTTTTTTCTTCGAAAAATTTGAACTGATGTGCAATAAATAGTACTGATACTAACCTAACCTAACCTAACCTAACCTAACCTAACCACAAACAAATAGAAATGGTTTAGTCGGTAAATCATGTCTAAAACACTTGACATATCAACATCAAGAAGGCTAATGACTGTAATAAACCTTCGCTAGATGTTATCATTCCTCACCAGGGCCGGGAAGTGAGGCACCTGGAGTCTTGACCTTACGCTTTGTCTAAGAGAGAGTAAAAAAAGAAGAGGAGAGAAGGAGATGAAATAGAAGAAAAAAAATAATAAAAACTTGGTAGGCAGTTCCTATATTTTTTTTAATTAGTTTCCCCTCCTCTTCTCTAATCAAAGATATTATGGTTTTCTTTAATGGCTTTGTATGTTGATTAACCAAATCCTGCACTCCACCAGAAATCATTTATGTGTCTCTATTTAGCCATTTTTGCTTTCTATGATAATAACGCAGCAAAATACTTTAGCTTACCTAATTCTGGATGTTTGGTTAATATTAGGCCAAAAACAATAGTCTATACAGTACATTATGTGTCTTGACAGGCCACAGGGGCTCACAATTCGAACACTGCTGCTTTAGGAACCTTTGGAAACTTATGGAAAGATGACGTTTATAATGTATGTATGTGTGTCCGGCATAAAAATCAGATTCATGTAACGTTAATCACTCAGAGAAGGTATTGTCGTAATAAAAGGGTTAAATCATAGTACTCAAGGGGTTAAATTGTCGTAATGAAAGGGTTAAACGTGCATGGAAATTATGGCTTGTTGAATAATAATAATAATAATAATAATAATAATAATAATAATAATAGTTAATATTCCCGTGAATTTATTTTACAGTTCATACTTTTATACTTTTATCCTCTTCGCCACTGATCGGCTTGTTAGCCGCTTGGGCGATCGGTCACGTCTCTTTTCATTTATATTCTTCACCAGAAGATCGGCTCGCTAGCCGCCCGGGCGATCGGTCACGTCTCTGTCACGCACTGTTGGCAAATACTGGGCATGCACCGGCTCCTGAATGTACCTGAACCCGCTCCAGTGTTGGTCAAGTCTTCTCTTGAAAGAGCTCACACTCGGTGCCGTCACAACACTCTCTGGTAGATTGTTCCAAGAGTTTACAACCCTCACTCCGAAAAAGTTTGCCCTCACGGTTTTCTGGACTTGCAGCTTCTTCAATCTTGAGCTGTGACCCCTTGAGCGAGCGTCCGCCAGCTCCAAGTAAGGACACTCAACTGAGTAGTGCCCCCTGAGATGCTTATACACCTCAACTAGGTCCCCCCTTGCCCGTCTGTAGTATAAGCTAGGCAAGTTCAGGCGCTCCAATCTCTCAGGGTAGCTGAGGTGCCGAAGTGCAGGCACCAGTTGTCACGGAAATGAGTTTTTAGCCCCATAGAAAAACCATTAAATATCAATACGCACAAACACACAAAGTTCCTGAAGCAGTACTGTACCTATTATGAACACCTGTTACCTGTTTATTTTGTTATCTTCTCTTCCCTCGTGGACTATTTCATGTAGGTGTTTGCATGAGACTATTGAACTATATAGTCTAGTCACTATCCGGTGACTTAAACAGGAGTGGTTTATATATATTAATGAAAATGTTAGTTTATAGGTTTATATTAAC